TGGCTGCGTAGCGCCGCTTCCAGGTCGCGCACCGCGCGCTCGTAGTCCCCGCTGTAGTAGGCGGCCACGCCGCTGGCGTAGAGCAGGTCGTAGGGCTGCAGCGGGCCGCGCTCCGGCTCCGGTACGGGCTCCGGGGGACCGCCGCACAGCGCCGGCGGCAGCAGCAGCGCCAGCAGCAGCCACCGCGGGGCCCAGAGGCGCTCCCGCATGGTCCCCAGCGACGGCGGGACGGCCGCGCTCCGACACCGCCCGACCCCCGGGTCCGAGCCCCCTGCACCTCGTCCGATGCCCCCGCGATCCGGCCGCGACAGCCCCAGGTGACCGAGGCGCGCGGAGGACGGAGGCGGAGGCTCGGCCCCGCCGGCCGCTCTTAAAGGGACGCCTCCCGCTCACACGCTCCTCCTGCCGCCCCGCCGCTCCGCCTGGGCAGATGGACAGCTAGCGCGGCCGGAGGCAGGCCCTGGTCACAGGCTTTCCATGTGTGTTCCCTCATAGGTGGCAGAAGTGGATGGTGCTGCTGCTTTTTCTAGACGTGGAGAAAACCCAGCTGAATGAGCTGAGACTCAGACTCGTTTTCTGGAATTTGCGTGGCCTCTCTCTTTGCGGTCCTTCAACTTCAGAAGAAACATGAAGGTCCATTTCAAGCTGGAAAGCGAGAGAGAGAGGGGAGAGAGGAGAGAGAGAGAGAGAGAGAGAGAGAGAGAGAGAACTCAGGCCAGTTGGCCAGTTGAGGCTTGGGGAGAAAAGTGTTTTGTCTATGGTTTACAGCAAAGAGTGGACCAGCTCTGGGCTGAAGGACAGCAGCTTCCCTGTTCTCTTGCCTTCTGCTTCCACTGTGTGGGGCTGCGTTCATGTACTGAAGGTGGAGATTGCACCGTGGAAGGAACGATAAATAACCCGTGTTTCCTGTGCAGACCGCAGGAGAAGGTGAAGCTGTGCTTAGATTCTTCCTCTGGCGGTTTTCCAGATGTGTGACCTTGTGCAACTGAGCCTCACTTTCCGCTTCTTAAACCAGCCAAACACCTAATTTGTCAAGTAATAGTCAGACACAGATCTCTATTGTAAGAGTTAAACAAAGAGGCAGTTTAATAAATCCGGTACCCTGGGACTTAAGCAATTAACATCAATCTAGAATTGGGAAAGCTGACAGAAACAGCTGCCAGAGTTCAAAGAACTAAGTAGAGGCTTTCCTGTTCCTCAGCTTCTCCTCAGTCATAGATACCTTCTCAGCCAAGGGTTCCCCTCTTCTCTGTCCCTTGTTGCTACACTCTGAGAGAATGTATGCTGGACCCTGGAATCGAGCCTGCAAGCCCTTGGGGGGGATTTCTGTTTGCCTCTTATTGCTTGTGGAAATTCCACATAGTTTCTGGGCCACTGGAAGGAAGAGCAATAGGAAAGAACCACATGTATCACCCAGTTCATCTGACTTTCCCAAAGAAAGCTTTTGTGTGGAATGGCCACTATGCAAGGAAGGTCCCAGCCTGTCATGTTCATTGTCATTTTCATTTTGATGGGCTTCCTCGCTCCCACAGTGAGCAGCCCCAGCTGTATAACTCCAAGGGAAACTCAATCATGTCCTTATTTTTTCCACCAAACTTCACGAATTTGTCATTCTCACTGAATGAAAAACTCCACAGAGTGGAGCAAAATGAGAAATAAATGCCTCAGATGGTCACTGTTCCAGGAACAGCACACAAGTCATCTGCACAGACAAACTCTAGGAATTACCTGCTTTCAGATAAAGATACTGGGGTCAGGCAGTGGTGGCCAGCCTTCAGTCCCAACACTTGGGTGACAGAGGCAGGCCGATCTCTGTGAGTTCAAGGCCAGCCTGGTCTACATCACGTGTTCCAGGCCAGCTGGGGCTACAGGGAGACCCTCTCTCAAAAAGGCTAAAAACAAACAAAAACCCAAAGCAGATAAAGATGCCGGGGTCAGTAGTTATCAGTTCGCTTGGGACTTGAAACACATTGGTAAGCAATGCTGTGAGATGCTGGCCAACTGCCAGGGTATTCTGGTATGTTTTATCTCTACATTAAGACAGATTTCTACATCATTAATATATATCATTTAAATTCATACCTTTAAGTGTCTACCCCAAAGTATTTATTATGGGAGAAGAGATAGTTAAGTCAGGGTCCTTATTTCTAGGAGCTCACAGTGTTGTACAGAAGATAAACATGAGGCTCTAATACAAGCTAAGAACATGGTACATATTAGGTTAGATTCAATGTGCTATGGTAACAGGGAGGCTGCAGAGATCTGGGAAGAAAGTGTAGGAAAGTTGGGGGGAGGAGGGAATGGCTCTGGCACATAATCAAAAACCTACAGGCAGCAGTGACAACTTGTCTCACCATTTCCTTTTGGCATGTCACACTTTTGCACAATCACTGTTTAACTCTAGATAAACCATTTGCTTAGCACTTCAGATTTTTCTGAACATTGGAATAACCTTATGAAATTAAACATTTATATCTACTCCTTCTCTAAGAAATTCTGATTTAATTGGTATGACATATGACTTAACCAATAGAATTTTTATAAGTTTCTCAGGTGATTCTAATATGAAACTAAAGTTGAGAACCACGAGCTTAAAAAAACACCTCATGCTGAAAAAGTAAGTCTATGAGTTGGGGATATGAGTGCTGTGGGCACATACGTGAGCCTGAGATTCTGGAGAAGTAGGGTTGTGTACAAACCTGCTGACCTGTTTTCCCTGACAAGGCCAAATTGACTTGCCCTTCAAGACTGGATAAAAAGCTTCCGGTCCTATGGTGATAAGAGTTACACAGCGCAGAGAATTTGTCCCATGTCATGCTCTGTCCTGTGGTCCTTTCTGTGTTGAAACATGGTCCTCCCAAGCTCTCATTCCTTTCTCAACTCTGCTGGATATGCCAGCTATGCACTTCTTCAGCACGGTCGCTTCTCAGACAAGTGACTGGATCCCAGATCCTGACTCACTAGTCGTCTGGGAATCCCCACATTTGCACCTCTGATATGTTACTTTCTGGTGCTGAGACTCCTCTCAATACAGGAACTATAGTTAGTTATCTAATTCTTTATAAATAGCAATTCTCATACTTCTGGTGTTACAGAAACCTAATTAAAAAAAGAAATCCACAGAGCTCTAGAATTTTGAATCAAGCCTGTGCTTTTATCCACTTCTGGGGTTTCTGAAACCCAGCAAAGTCTGAGAAAAACTGATTCTCAGCTGGGGATGATTGTCACCATCTAGACACAGGTGACAATATCTGGAAACAGTTCTCATTGTTGACGAGGAAGGGAAGTCATGCCACTGGTGTAGAGGCAAAGGATGGCACTGAACATCTTTTAATGTGTGAGGCAAGTTTCCCACACACTCACAAAAAAATGGTCAACCAGCCTTAAGAGTAAGTAGTACCAAAGTTCAATTTCAGCAACCCGGTAAGCCTTGTCAAATTCTCTTATAGAAAAGAGAAAGCTTCGACACATAGTTCACAGGGACAGGTGTGGTAGGACGAACATGCTTAATTTCACATACTGAAAGATAAAACATGTTAAATACATGTTACATACTGAGTTCAATACTGTATAACTGTATTAATTCAACTGTGAACCTAGAAACTTGCACCCACTTGTGAAAGAGATGGACTCTTGCTCTGGAGTGTGCTACTGAATATGTTAAAGCTGTAGTGAAATGCTTCTTCTAATCATGTAGTTATTAAAAA